CAATGCAATGTCTTCTATATATAATATAAATAGTACATTAAACATAGAAAAAAGGTAAATACATCCAATGTAACATCCTCCCTCCTCAACAGCTTTCATAATTGTTTCTTATTTTTCCTAACAGGAATTTATCACTCTTCTCCCTCTACCCCATGCCCCAAAAACCTGTACCTAGCCTAAGGACTTTCTTCTTAGGTAGAAGAGATCTCCAAACATGTGCCATTATAAATATAAGTTTTTTCAATACATAGCCAGAGATTAAACTCTAATCCAAAAGTAAAACCTTCTATATGGTACTGAATAAAAAGATCTAGGGTATCAACACTATTTGTTATAAGATACCATTATAAGCAACAGTATACAAAATGATATCTGAAAAGAACAGGCAGCAATAGAAAGCATGATCGTGAAAAATGTATATGTAGAGGCATAAGGGTGCTGTGGCGTTTGGGGAAAACCACAGGTATTCAGTCCACCATTAGTAGAGAGTCCAGCTTGAGAGCAAAAGATGAAATGTGAAAGCAACAAAAAAAATTCATTGTTTTTATGTCCTATGGTAAGGAGTTTGAGCACCATTCCATGGGTAAAGGGGAACTCATGAAAGCTTTTAAACGGGAAATGACAAAATCAAATTTGTGTTTTAGAAAGGCAGTGTGGAGGAAGAATTAGGGAAAGGGAAGTAAAACTGGAAACAAAAAGATAAATTAGTGGACTCTGACAGTAGTCTAGGTTAGGGTTTCTCAACCTCAGCACTACAGACTTTGGATACTTCTGTTGTGAGGGGCTGTCCTGTGCATTCTAGGATGTTTAGCAGCATCCCTGTCCTCCCCACTAAATACCAGTAGTGGAGTATTTACCACGACCCCAGTGGGTGACAACCAAAAATATCTCCAAATACTCCCAGATAGATGTCCTCTGGAAATAGGAGAACACAACTGCCTCCGGCTAAGATTCACTGGTCTAGAAAGGAGGATGTGAACTAGAGGCAATTACAGTGGAAATAGCTAAGGCCCAATTGTGGAAAAATCTGGCAGGCTAAAAACAACTATTGGTGATTAACTGAAAGTAGGGACTAGGGAAAAGCAGAAATCAAATGGAAGATGAGGAAATAAAAGGTGCAAACAAAATTTTACAGAAATGTTTATTTTCCAAAGTTTTCTAAGTTCTGTAAGATCCAGGCCCGTCCTCCAGAGCACATCAAAGCAACAGTCCCTCTTCCCTTTCCCTTAGCTTCCAGAAATCCTTACCTAGACCAACCTTAAGAATGCAATGTCTGCCCAGGGTAAACTGCTGGTCAAAAAAAAGAAAACAGAAAAAGAAAAAAGTGGAAAAAAAGACATAACAAGAAAAAACATAACAACAAAAAAGAATGCAATGGCCCCACAAAAAAAAAAAAGGCAAATTCCCTTCTTGATCCTCTATTCTTCACAACCCAATCAGTCCCATCTTGCTGGTTATTATAAAATGGGAAACATTTTCAAATGCCATGTCAGCGTGGCCTGATAGCTTTGGGAGGCTGAGGTGAGAGGATCGCTTGGGGCTGGGACTTTGAGACCTGTCTGGGCAACATAAGGAGACCTCGTCTTTACAAAAATAAATAACTAAATAACTAAATCAGCCGGGCATGCTGTCACACGCCTGTATTCCCAGCTACTCTGAAGGCTGAGGCAGGAGGATCCATCGAGCCTAGGAGTTGGAGGCTGCAGTGAGCTGTGACTGTGCCACCACACTCCAGCCTGGGTAACAGAGCAAGATCCCGTCTCTATTGAAAAAAAATTATTTTAACTGCATATCCTACTGATACCCAGCTTTTATGCTCCACCCCTACTAAGTCAACACTATACACCAAAATTCTCAATTCTCGTTTTCTGTGGTAAAATATCCAGGAGAGCCTGTAACTGTTTTTTTTTCCTCTTTCTCAATATATACAACTTTTAAGTCCCAATTCATCACAAAAGTGACTGATTTTTATCTTTCTTCACAAAATCTAAATGAACAACACTTAAAGTTGAAATAGTTTCGTATTACTCTTTTTATTGAGAATTTTTTTAAAAAGCACCTTAGGACTTGACTAAAAGTTTTCAAGGATAAGAAAAGGTTTGAGAATGTATTCTAGAGTAGCGCTTCTCAAACTGTAATGAACATATAAATCTTCTGAGAATCTTGTTAAAATAAAGATTCTGATTCAGTGGGCCCAGAGTGAGGCCTGAGTGTCTGCATTTCTAAAGAAGCTGCCAAGACTGCAAACGCTGTTGATCTGGTGACCACACACTGAGAAATAAAGTTTTCAGAATGTCAGAGAAAAGACGTAGAAAAGAAACAACTAGTCAGGCAAATAGAAATTAGGGCCCCCTCCAAAAATGAAAAGGGGCAGGGGTTTAAAAGTTGAACACTCCAACTCCTTACAGCTCCTTGCCCCTTTGGAGCTTGACCTAAACACTCAGAGTCTCCAGACCATTATTCATCGCCCCCAAAGCCCTAGCTTTTCAAAAACCTCTGCCCCATTCCATAAAAGCTATGTCCAATGGTTTAGAACTAAGGGAAGTCCATTCTCGTTCCTAACCAGTGAAGTAAGTCTCTAGACTCACTATGTCAGAGGAAAGAAAAATAAAAACTAATTTTAGCACTGTTCTAATTCCAAAGCCTAGATGCACACACATAGATTTTTTTCATTCATTCAGTCAGTCAACATTTTAGGATAAGCTTCTCTGCTCTTCTTAAAAATACAATGATCAAGAAAATCTATTCTCTTCCTCCAAGAAGTTCAAAGTCTAGCTAAAGAACAATCTATAAATACCACTGATTGTATAGAAAATGCATTTAAAGCTAGCAAGTAACACACCAATTTTCTGGGCACAATTCTTTCAGTAATTGCAAAACAGTACTATCTCCAAAATGCCTCACATTATCAAGTCGCACGTTACTATACATCATAATCTAATCATTAATAATAAACCAGAGAAAACAAATTGTTATCCCAAAACAAAAAGTTTCCAATGCCCTGAATTATAAGAACCTCCTTGGAACACCAAAAAAACATAGTAATTGTACTTTCACTATTTGTACTGGAGGAACACCAAAAAAACATAGTAATTGTACTTTCACTATTTGTACTGTGAAAATAATGATTTAAATGACAGTTGTAAATGATTTGTATTTTATTAATCAGAACATCTTCACAAATGTGAAAAATACTAGTGCACATATGAGAAATATATCTCCCTTCAGACAATGCTTAATGAATATATGAATTATTTTATAGTAAGAACTCAGCAAAGCTACCTCCTGCAATTCCTTAAGAGTCTGAGGTCCACTTATTAGAAACCTTTGGCCCAGGATTTACTACATATTTATTTCAAAATAAGCCTCCATTTCTTTTACAACCTCCTCTGACTCCAAATGGTCTTCCCTCAGTTAATTAAATATTCTGATATTTTAGCATATTTGTAATTATGAACTAAATATAAGATTATAATTCCATTAATGGGGAAAATAGATGCCAAACTGATTAAAACCACATGAATTTTTAAAACCAAAAAAATAACTCCCATATATTCATTAACATGGGGACCTATCTGTACATAAATTACTAATTAGGAGTGCTAATACATCTGGATTTTGAAGCCTCATACAGCTAATTGATTTAGAATAGTAAATCCAGATTTACAAATCACTATACTTGGGCTCCAGTAAATTTTCTCCATGGGTAGAAGATTTAAAAATTAAAAACAAAACAGGTCAGCCTCAAAGATTATGTTGTATTTATCCGTCTGGTCATTATTATTAATTGTGGACTTTTCATGAAAATATATTAGGTTCCTTATGTTTTCACTGTTTAAGTTTAAATAAAGACAATAGTAGGATGGGATGGGCAAGTACGTCTATAGAAAAACAGACCCTCATTGTTAAAGACTCATGAACAGATAAACATCTGCACATGGAAAAAAGCTTTTAATTTGTAAAGCCAATACATAAGTCATATGGAGGATGAAAATAGAGGAAACTACTAAGTTAAAACTCATCTAAATGACATCAAATACAGCAGAACATGATTTACATACATAAACACATATATACATTTGTTTAACCTCTGCTATGAGTAAGATCACTGGTGGGGACAAATATTACCTACGGAATAATTTAAGAAAGGTTACAAAAGTCGCTTATGTTCTTAAAACCTCAATGTAGGTGGGAAGGGAGATGAGGGATAAAAACTTAGACCTGTTAGATACAATGAACACTTTACTGGTTACAGGCACACTAAAAGCCCTGATTTCAGCATTACATAATTCATCCATGTAACAAGAACACTTGTATCCTCTAATATTTTGAAATAAAAATTATTTAAAAAAGGAATGTCTGCTATTAAAAAAAAAAAACAACCCTCAATGTTACACAAGAATTTCATGCAACCAAAAATAAAATCAGTTGGAATATCCTTGCTAAGCAAGGCTACATTTTATTTCTTAAGAACTGGAACACCACACTGTAATTTCTTATATCCTTTTGCTTCACAGAGTGAAACCAGAACACATACAAGATATGAAGAAACAACATAGTGTGCCAAAGTAATTTTAATATTTTGAGTGAAAATGAGGGTTTTTTTTAAGTCAGGAAAGTTATTTCCACAATCAACTATCAACTGTAATGATCACTGAAATTTTTATATCAATTTTAGTTCCTTACCAAAAGCAATTACCATGCTAACAACATGCCTACTGGCTTATTAGCAGTTTCCTTTTAATTTATGTGTACACTTGCTTAAATCTAACCTTGAAATGCAGCAGAATATCTTCAGAAATGCTCTTTACTCAAAGGTGATCCTACTAATAACCTATCTAACAGAAAAATAAACTATGAAGCAGAAAGTAAGGGAAATAAATTCACAAAACTGCCGCCTTTGAAGAGAAAACAGATAACTATCCCCTTTGTTTCAATTAAATAACCTGTGGCCTAACTTGTTATCTCTGAAAGTCTCATTTACTCAGCCTTGAGGAGCCCTAAAGTGGGCAGTAGGGGTACAAACTCTCTGCTGCAGCTCTCTGCCCCGACTCTTGCAGGGCAGATTTCAAGGACTCAGATAAGCCAGCTTCACAAAGAAAAGAAAAAAAAAATGGAAAAAGGAAACACCGCAGCTCCAAAGCTGCCCCTGTTATCAGCCTGCTAAAGCAAAGAGAGAGAAAAAAACCAAAAACATCTTTACACTTTAAAACACTAGCTGCTTTTCCTCAAGTACCCAACATTTCTTTCTTTCTCTGTGTGTCATGGCCACTTGTTCTCTCTCCTTCTCTCTCTCTTTCCCAGAGAAATAAATAAACTTTTACTTTGGTATATCCTAATCGCTGTCTGAGAATTCTTTCTCCAGCAGGCTGGAGTTGATCTGGTGATCTGGTACATATTTGGAAATAGATAAATGTAAGTTACAAAACTGCAGAACCATAAGCAATAGAAGACTATAACAACAGCTGCCACTTGACAAGCACAAGATACTATGCCAAGCATTTTATATCCACTAACGTATTTAATTCACATAATTCTATGACATAGTACCTATTATACCAACTTTACAGATGAGAAAAGTGAGTCTTAGGAAAGGTTAAAGTAAGTTGCCTCTACCAACAACTAACATAAGGTCAGGCTCCAATGCTTATATTCTTAACACATTAACTGCCATGTGAATTGTATTTAATTCACGCTAGTTTTGAGCCCGGGGCCTAGTGAAGCATATGTAACTCACACATCTCTTTACCTTGGGAATTGTGTGGTGCACAGGCAACTCACGCTGCCATGCTGTAGCACACATGTTACATAATAGGTGGCCCTCTGGGCAAAACCCTGCAGTTGGTTTCTGAAAACCTTACTTGTTGATGTTTTTATCATTACAATTAATATTGACAATTTAATTGCATGTGACTCATGTACAGAAAACAATAAAAAATAACAAACTTTTCATTAAATTAGAAAGAATCATTTTGTTTTTGAAGTTTTTATTCTATTTTTGTAATAAAACACTGTGGCCCCAAGGAAAAAAAGTTTTTTTTTCTAGTGTGGCAGTCAATGTGTTAACTATGGTATCCTGTCTCCAATTCAAAGAAATTTTTCCACATTCTATAATATTCCTTATCACATTATAATCTTAATATAATTCTAGCTAAACCTAAGATGGCCAAATACAAATTTCTAAATAAATCTCTTTGAATCTAACTGGAATGGACGGAATCAATGAGAAACAACAGCTAGAGAATTCATTCAAAGAAATAAAATTAAGTTCTCCCTTCCTATATTCAAAATGCAAGGAGAACAAATTGTGGGAATAAAATAGAGTTGGGAAAACTATAGGGTTTTGGTTAAACATCCTAAAATTCAGGCTAGCATGTTTGTGGATGAGAATTCTAAACTGGTCTTTACTAATTCATTCACCACACCTACTTCCTAGGAAAAGAGGGATGAACACTATCATCAATGCCAGGTTCTTTTTTTGAGACAGAATCTCACTCTGTTGCCTGGGCTAGAGTGCCATGGCATCAGTCTAGCTCACAGCAACCTCAAACTCCTGGGCTCAAGCCATCCTCCTGCCTCAGCCTCCCAAGTAGCTGGGACTACAGGTGTGAGCCACTACGCCCGGCTAATTTTTTTTGTTGCTATTTTAGTTGCCCAGCTAATTTTTTCGATTTTTAGTAAAGACAGGGTCTTGCTCTTGCTCAGGCTGGTCTTCAACTCCTAACCTCAAGCAATCCTCCCACCTTGGCCTCCCAGAGTGCTAGGATTACAGGCGTGAGCCACCGTGCCTGGCCAATGTCAGGTTCTTAATACCAGCTATTACACACTGCAAATACAATGACCAGAACAGAGTGTAAAGAAGCCAACCAGCTAATCTCAGAATGATCTACTAGTTCATAGGTCCAAGTGGTAAACACATCATGGTTTTAATAAACTTCCATTACTATGTAACAATTAACTCAAAGCTATAAAACTAGATGAGTACAGCCCACAGTACTATATATTGTGTATAAAAAGGTACCCAAATTTCAGTTCACATGTTTAAATATGGTTAAGTGTCAAACACCACATTATCACACACACCTACAAAAATACCTCCAAGACAAAATCTCCCACAAGACCTCTTTCGTAAATCAATCAATAAAACAAAATTCCCTTGCAATCATGAATTTAGAAGAATGTTTCTTGGTTCAACAAAAACAATCACAGCACACAAAGTACCAATTAAAATAAAGCACAGCAAGTACATGGTCAAACCTCTCATTTGTAACAACAAAACTTAATCTGTTCTTTCCAAAGTACATTTTTATCTCAACGCAATCCTGGAGTATTCTTTACTTAGTAGGAAAAGAAAATTAACTCTTTCAAAGTTGAGTCTTTTTCTATAGGGACTGTCATATTTTTAAACAAGTTTCAAACTAATGTTACTTGCACATTTTTAGAAAAGAATTGACTAATACTGGAGGATAAACAATAGGAAGAACATTTACATTTGCCAATAAAAAGCAGAGAAGATGGGAGGCCCAGGCGGGCAGATTGTTTGAGCTCAGGAGTTCGAAACCAGCCTGAGCAAGAGCGAGACTCCGTCTCTACTAAAAATTGAAAGAAATTAATCGGACAACTAAATATACATAGAAAAAATTAGCCGGGCATGGTGGCGCATGCCTGTAGTCCCAGCTACTCGGGAGGCTGAGGCAGAAGGATTGCTTGAGCCCAGGAGTTTGAGGTTGCTGTGAGCTAGGATGACGCCACATCACTCTAGCCCGGGCAACACAGTGAGACTGTCTCAAAAAAAAAAAAAAAAGCAGAGAAGTTGAGTACTAGAGATCATTAGGAATAAAAATGACAGTATATTCAAATTACATTACATAAAAACAAAGAGTCCTTTATATTTAAAATTACTAATTCATCAGATTGGAGATTACCATGTTATTTTAACAAAACTGAACTTAATTTTTATTCTTTTTAAATGTACTTAATACATTGCAACGGAAGCACCTACCAAAAAAAAAGTACTTAATACAAGACAATCAGAGTAAGCATAATATTTCAAAACTGACAATATAAATTACTTGTAAAATTCAAGACCAAAAAACAAAAGGGGGATAGAGATCACAACATCTGATAGAAGAGATTTAAGTCCCTGATATACAAAGAACTCATACAATGAATTTTAAAAAAGAACAGTCCAACTAAAAAATAAGTAAAGGACAGGAAAGAAACACCAATGGCCAATAAACACAAAGAAGTTCAACACCAGTAATCAAATGGAAATGGGGTTTTTTTTGGCCTATAAAATTACAAAGTTATGAAAGATTTTTACATCCCAGTGTTTTTAAGACTAGAAAAACCAGCCCCTACGACCATGAATATAAATTGATGTAGCATTTCTGAAAGGTAGTCTGTCAATTATCAAACTTAATTGTGTATTCTTGTCCCAGAAATTATGCTGATAAGAAATTTACACTGAGATAATTACTTAAGTGGAAAAAGAAGCAGGTATAAGGTTAATCATTGTTTTATCTCCTCCTCTACATACCACCAGTGGACTCTCTTCATTTTTCACCTTATAGGAAACTGAATCAACTCACTCTTCTCATATTGCCTTAAATAGACAGATTTTTGCTTTCTATTCCATGTGAACTACTTGATCTCTCAAATTTCCATTTCCCAAAATGGAAAAAACATCTCCCAAAGAACTGTTGGGGTAAATTGAGTGATATAATAAAATATAAAACATCTAATTTACAAAAGAATTATTTTAAGTTGACCACATTACCTGGAACAAACACAGGAAATCATCATCCATACAAATAAAATCAAGTTTCTGTCTCTCTGCCACTACATCGCATGAAATCCCTAGATGGATTTTCACTAAATTTGGAGGACATGTTTACGAAGCTAACAGGAGGAGCCTTCTTTGGGGAGGAAGGTGAAAAACTAATACTGGAGGTGGAAGAGGCCTGAACATCTCAAAGAAAAGGTAGACATCCTCAGAGCCGCTACAGAACCACTTTTCCAGTGGGCAATTTTAATGCAGCCTGATCCACAATGATTAACATAACATATTTATTTAATAACAGTTTCTAAACAAGGCTAGAAAGGTTTGGCCAATACCATGTATTACTTACTACCAGTAATAACTACCATTTATAGTGCACTAATGTGCCAGGTAACATTTAGTCCTTAAAACAATCCTATGTAGTAGGTACTAAGTATTTTTACTCTAATTTTGCAAATGAAGAAAGAAAAAGGTCTACAAAGTCAAAAGACGCGAAGATAATCAGTGAAGAAATATAAATGTAATTCCAACAGCCTGGCTTCCAATTTCAAACCCTGAAACCTTAACCGTTATTCAATACTACCAGATTATTACTATTCCTACTGTTTGCTCTTTGAAAGAAATTAAAATTCACCAAGAGACTCTGAGTAAGCTAAACACGAGCCATGCATGGATGCTCCTCCCATCCTCAGGAAATTAAACCCCAACAACTCTATGAGTTTCCATAAGGGACTTATATGTAACTCTAAGCCTAAAACTTCACCTACATCTGGCTTAGGCTGAGATAGTAAACATTCCCACAGCTTGGCAAATGGAGGTGAATGGAAGTTTAGTGACTCCACAAAAGAAATAGCTCTAAAGGCATTAATTTGGAATTCTAAACACAATTTTCCACAGAAATATTACTGAACAATACTCATAGGGTTAAAGATATTCATTCATATGGCTGACTGGAAATCTAATACCAAGTAAAACAGTATTTCTTTGAGAACATATATAAAGAACTTAAAAACAATTGTTTTATATATGGAGTTCTAGTTTTAGTTTAATTTCCTTTAAAATTTCAGTTATTTTTCAATATCTTCTCCATTTTCTCCACATCTTTATTTATTTTTCCTAAGATCAATACTTGGTTTGACATGCCAAAAGGGCCTATTAGCAGGATTAAGAAAAGATTTACATTCCATCATCTATGCTATAATCCTATTAATTTCTCCAAATTTACTTTATCTTTCTCCATTAAAGAACTCTACAGTAAATACTCTCCAGTTTCTTTGCTATTCCCTATTTTCTTGCGTAGAGTAGAA